ACTAAAAAAACATTCTGCATGCTGCAACTAAAGATCCTGCATGCCGCAACTAAGACCCGGTGCAGCCAAATAAATGAATAAATATTAAACAAAAAATCTAGATGAGAAAAAATATGAAATCTTGCCATTTGCGACAACATGGAGGGACCTTGAGGGTATTATGCTAAGTGAAGTAAGTCAGACAGAGAAAGATAAATACTATAGGATTTCACTCATATCTGGAATATGAAAAACTATAATAAACAAACAAAACCCCTAATAAATGAACAAACCAAAACCAAATAAAACAAACATGTCATTACAGACAACAGAGTAGTGGTTATCAGAGCGGGTAGGTAAACGAGGGAGACAAAGTGGATAAAGGGGATCAACTGTATGGTGATAGATGAAAAATAAATTTTTGGTGGTGAGCACATTGTAGGGTATACAGATGTAGAAATATAATGCCATAAATCAAGATTACCTCAATAAAAAATAAAATAAATCATTGTAAATGAAAAAATGTAGATGGATATTTTCGTTTTCAAGCACCAAACACTTTTTAAAAACTTTAATTGGCTAATATAGTGCACATGTTAAGCAGACTTTTAAAGAGACCCTACATCTTGAGTGGGTTAAGTAATCATTTATAACCATCTTGAAACATGTTTAACTCGGTTTTTCTAGTGACATGAGATTAAACATGGAAACCAAACTGTGTTTCACTCACAACATATAAGCAAACAAACTGCATGTACATGTGTAGATTTATGCAAAAGCCCGGTGATACAACTATGTTTAGCTTTTCAGATTAGGTACATACGGCCACCCACTCGCCCTGTATTACCTCACCAAACACAAGAGCAGCAACTTTTCTATTTCAATACAATTATGGGCAGAAATTATATGATATAAAATAGAGGTTCTTCCATAAAGGTTAAGATTTAGCATATAAGCAGGGAAGACAAAAGCAAAGTTCCCATGAAGTCAAAAATAATACCACACTGGTCCAGTGCTCCATGAAACTCTGAGTTAAATTATAGTCCTCAAAGGCGTGTACTTGGATCCAGATTCACCAAGACACTTCAGTATGCTTCAAACTGGCTCATCATCATCTTCCTGCTGTATTCATAAGCCAAAAATAGTGCCGCATTGGCAGGGAACGCTCGAATCAAAGTAGCTTTCAGACCAGAATATAAAGCTGCTACTCCTTCCTTTTTCACAACACTTAAAAGAGTTCTGATAAGTCCTGCCTGTTTTCCAAGCATGGAAAGAACCTGAATTCTGGATTTGATACAATCCACTGGGTATATGACAAGCCAAAGGCAAATTCCAGCAATTCCACCGCTTAACATCAAGGGGACAGGGCCTAGTTCATCTTTTGATCCATCCGAGGCAAAAAAACGATCGACTCAGTTCATAGCCACCGAAGAAGAAGAAATAGCCTGGTACTACTTGAAACAGAGTGCTCGTGAGTCCGTGGTAGAAGCCCAAGGGGCCATCCTTTCTAAGGATACTCTTCACGACGGACCAAACTGTATTATGGCTTTTTGCTATCCTCCCTGACATCTCCAGTTCGTGCATGGTCTGCAGCCGGCACTTCACCAGCTCAGTGGGGCACAGGGCCAGCGCGCCAAACGCAGAGGCGATGGAACCAGCGGCCGCAGTCTGCAGATCATTCAGCTTCGCCTGCCTGTCCAATCCAACCACTTTCCTCACAAACTGTTGGCAGAAACCGTAGCACAAGAAGAGGACTGAGTTCTCGGCGACGTAGGCCATCAGCGCGGGGCCGGTCCCTTTGTAGAAGCCCCGCAAACCCACCTGGGAGTATGTCTTCAGGCCACAGTCGACGAGGCCCTTGTACAGGCCAGGGAACGTCTGCATCTTCACTTTCAGTGTGTCGAAGGGCTGCCCGGTCAGGACGCATGCTGTGCCCCCAAGGGCCCCCGCGGTGAGGTCGATGGCGGCTTGGATGGCAGGATTGGATTTCATGTTCGCCCACTCTTCTGCTGGTCTCCGAGGAAGGGAACTCTCTGGAGCTTAGGAGGCCGTCCCGTGTCCAGCCGCCTGCTCTTGGTTCTCTCTCCGGCGCGGGAGAAGCCGCTTAACCCCAGACTAGGCCGCGGGCCGCCCTCCCCACGCACTGAAATAACCCCCGGCCCGCGGCCCCGCGCGCGCCTCTCCTGGCGCCCTGCGGCCGCCGCGTCTGGGCCCTAAACCCGTCAGCCGCCCTCCCGCTCGCTCCGCGCCGCCCGTTAGTCCCAGCGCCCGCGGGCCCCGGGGCCGACTAGAGAAACACTTCTAATGAATCTCAATACAGCAGTAGAAAGCTGTCCGATAAATTCCTGCGATTACGGCCAGAAACTCTAGGCGCTGCTGCGGCGGAGGAAGACTTGCCTTCCTGTTCGGCCAGAGACTCCCACCTCCCGGCAAAACAAAATGGGAGGTGCTTGATCGCGCCTGGGGTCAAAGGGTCAATCTACAGAGACAAAGGTTTAAAATAGGGAAAACGAACAAACACTTTGCGGGGTTTACCTGACAATCTGTGGCTCCTTCGGATCAGAAAACCCTTAATCGTCTCCGGAGAGGAATGGCGGCTCCACAAAGGTGCCGGCCGCCGCGCCTCTCCAGGTGTAGCTCTTTGCCCGCTGGGGGCGACGCCGGGGGAGGCCTGAGGCGGGCAGATCCCCTGTTTCGCGGTAACATCGCCGAGGATACTGGCCTGAAGCCCTGTGAGCTGGTGGGACTCAGGACCCTCGTTATTTCTAGAGGTAAGTCAAGGCCTTGTACAATCGCATTGGAAAACATTTATATACAGCTAAAAAACTTGATATAAAAGACCTGCGTGGCTCCAGCGCTCTGTGCGTGCTAAGTCTCGGGGTTCTTGCTGAGGAGCCATGCAGCTTTATGCAGCAGCAGTTCTGGATATAACTGACTACAGGCCTAGTAGGCAAGATGCAGTTTGGGGCATCAGTGAGGGTACCGCTGTCAGGACACACTTTTCCTCCCATATGCTTATAATCCCAGCGTTGGAACGAATTCTCTTAAAGTTTACATTTTAAGCCCTAGGCGGTATTTTACTTTGGGGGTAAAAACAAAATGGTGGAGGGGGCAGAAAGTATGCTAAAAGGATTCTTTCATTTAGAAAGCTTTCCTTGTCTGATTCTTTGGGTATCAGTTAATATTTAAAAGTGAGGCACCTAAAAGCAGATTGTGCGTGGATACTGTTTGTCAACAGGTAGACTTCATTGTAGTAAGTAGTGACTTGGCCTTTTCTTTGGAGAGTGCCCAAATGTATCTGGATTTCTTTTCTCTGGTACCATATGGTTTCTTCAGAGAATAATCTTCCAGTCTTGACTGTGTGTGTGTGTGTGTGTGTTTGCGGGGGAGGGGGGGTGCGGGGGGTGTTTACCTTGGGTACTGATTTAATGACACCAAGTGGGAGAAGAGGGTTGACATCCTGCAGTCAGAAAACAGACTTTCACACAATTCCCTTGTTCAATGCTATGGACCCCCAGCCTCCATCTGTGCCTTCTTTGGTTCAATTTACCCAGAAAATAAACTTTCTGTCTGTGGCATGGGGAAGGAAAAGTCATCTGGCTTGAGTGAGATAGGGCTCCTGGACATCCAACAGCTCTGAGCACAGATTTTATCTTATTTTTTTTGTCTGTGCCACATGGCATGCAGGATCTTAGTTCCCAGACCAGGGATGGAATCTGTACCCCCTGTGGTGGAAGCCCAGAGTCCTAACCACTGCACTGTCAGGGAAGTCCCTGAACACAGACATTAATGAATCCTGTTTCTAGCCTCACACCTTCTCTCTTCCTTGGAAACTGCCTGCAAAAACTGAGCCTCAGTGTCTATATCAAGTGGGCGGGTTTGTTTCTCCTTGGTATACCTCCTTGCAGACATTTAGCATGTAACTTTCTGTGATCTATGAATTTATCGTTTCTTCATCTGCTTTGGCCTTCTGAAAACATTGACATCTCTCATCCACTGTTGTCTCATCTCCTATTTTCCTTGCCCTTGGGGGTGACTATATTAGCAGGCTATCTGACAGAGAAAAGAGATTCATGAGAACAATGTGCCATTTTAAACTAGAAAAAAATTTTTTTTAAGTTTTAAAATTTCGTATCACATTTGATGGTTTTTTAAAAATTAATTTTATTTATATATTTATTTATTTTTGGTTGCATTGGGTCTTTGTTGCTGTGCTCAGGCTTTCTCTAGTTGCCGCGAGCGGGGGCTACTCTTCGTTGCGGTGCACAGGCTTCTCATTGCGCTGGCTTCTGTTGTTGCAGAGCATGGGCTCTAGATGCACGGGCTTCAGTAGTTGTGGCATGCAGGCTCAGTAGTTGTGGCTCACGGGCTCTAGAGAACAGGCTCAGTAGTTGTGGCACATGGGCTTAGTTGCTCCACAACATGTGGTATCTTCCCAGCCCAGGGCTCAAACCTGTGTCCCCTGCATTGGTAGGTGGATTAACCACTGCACCACCAGGGAAGTCCCTCACATTTGAGTGTTTTTAAAAACTGTTTTGGTTTTTTAAAACTGTCCATTAATTACCTATGGTTCATTGTTTATTTTTTAAAAGCACATACTGTTTTTACAAACACAAGAGATGCAGGATACTACAATAAATCATCAACTGCTTTTGCATTAAATTCATATATCTATATGTTTTGGAGAAACCATTAGTAATCAGTGCCAGGGATCATGAGGGCATTAATAGGGAAATCGTCTGTAATTTCATTGAATTATCAGACATAGCTGTGCAATACACAGATCTCAAGTTCCATGAAATGTATTTAAACAGCTGGACTTGGAGCACATGCACTCCCACGCATACATGGAAAACAATGGCAAAGGAACTTCCAAATTTTCAGTGAAGATGCACACCCACATCACATGTTCCCTAGCAATCAGATGGAGTAGCCAGATAGGATTACCAGAGAAAGTAAGGTTTGAGCTGAGGGCTGAGTAACAAAAAGCTAGCCATGAGACTATCTGGAGACTGTTTCAGGAAAAGGGAAATATAAGTGTAATATAAGTAAAGCTCTGTAGTGTGAAAGAGCTGGGCGTTTGAAATACAGGAAGAAGGCCAATATACCTGCTGTGTGGTGAGCAGTCTTCCTAGTCTGTGTTTTCACACAATTCTTACCAGGTAATAAAAGTTTAAGCAGAGTTGAAGACAGTCCTTCAGAGGCATGATTGGTCACAATTTGTCCAAAGTTTTTGTCTCAAACATTTGATCTACAAATTCAAAACGTCAGGCTTTATGACATTTAGATGTGAACATAAAGATCCCATTTACCTAATCTATAGAAATAATGCAAACCAGAGACCACACTGACATGCTTATTGCAGCATTCTGTGTAATAGCAAATTTAAAATGAACAACCTAAGTGATCGGCAATAGGGGAGTGAATAAAATTAAGAATTTGTAAAATTTCTGCATTGCTTAA